GAGGAAAATGGGAAGTTGTCCTCTATCAAGGTCTATGACTCAGAATTAAGGGGGATAAAAAGGTATGAATGTCTTTCACTTGGAAATCATATACCCCCATTCTCCTTCACGACTTGGCTTGCTTTCTAAAATAGGTTGGCAACTTATGATAACCTTACTCGTTTGGAACTAGTTAACATTTGTCCATTTGCAAGGGTGAATCGTAGACGGTGCCACACCTATTGTTTGATTGTCCATTTTCAGGAACAATTTGGAAGGAAGTGCAAGCTTGGATTGGATTGGATTGCCTAGACAGATGTCTACCTTAGCTAGCTCGGTTAAATAGATAAAGGATCATGGGGCACGGGGATGAAGGCAAAGGCTTCTCGGATTGATGGAATCACTCCGAAGGAAAATGAAGTTATTGCAAGGATCAAGTATCTTGTGTACAAAATCCTTTACAATATTTACCCGCTCGAGATGATTAATTTTTGACTTGTTTTGCTTGACCCATCACCTATTTTGTGCTTGGTTGTGGATATTTTCTAGTTCTTAGGCTCTTTTGAGGTGGTGGGTTATCCTCCATTAGGATAGCCCTTTTTTTGGTTCCCTACTTTTTATGTACATATATATGCATTCTTGGGTGATTTATATATTTACCGTTCATCCAAAAAACCCAAATGAGCTCACATTGACCCTTATTTGATTGCTATGCTAATACGGAGTAACTTCATATTTTGTTTTTCTCCCACGCTCATTATGTTTCGTCGTAAATTTCATTTATTATCTTACCTATACGCCTAATTTCGATATTATAAGTTTATTTGGTTCTTATACATAACCTTGAAGTACAAAATTTTGTCCATGCATATAGATCAATTAGAGTATCGCAATTGAACAATTTAAATATAAACAAAAATGAAATAATTACCTAAACCAAACAAATGCATAATTGGTACAGTATCTTCATATTTAGGAGTATCATGACACTCACCAAATAATATTTATCCATAACGGCATAACATATTAATCCATTACTTAGCTTAATCGAAGTTTAGAAGCTCGGTATAAAAGAATCAAAGACTACAACCACTCAGTGTCTCGCTGATTTGAAAAATCTAGGGCTCACCATCTCGGTCTAGAGTCAGGTTTATGTGGGATTAACGATTTTTGACGAGCAAAATCTATCAACGGGTTAGTAGTTAAGTCCTATATACAAACATTTGTTGTCTGTGAATAGATAAAGTGTACGTACACATCTATTTTTTGATTATGTGCAGCCATGTTAATTTAATTTGTTCACACAGAAAATTTTATCAAAAATAAGGATGACACAATTACACAAACGATATTTTACTAATGTACAAACAATAATTCCGGCAAATCTCTAATGATTCCAACTCTAGTTGTTATCCAGTGTGACTCCAACTCCGGTGATGGTTAAATAAATAGGAAAAATTGAAAATAATAATATCAACTATTGCCGGTCCGCTGATAATAATCCAACTATTGATTATTTTTGTATAATCTCAACTATATAGATCGTCCGCCAATAATGGTCCGTGACCAGATATTACCTCCTATAAAAAGTGAATTTTAAATAGAAATTAAGTGTAAAAATTAAAAGTTGAGATTATTTGTAGGGATTATTTGTTATATCTCTTCTCATTCACTTTAGAAACTACATGAATTTATTTATATAGGGACTATTATTGGCGGAAGGTTCTTAAAGTTTGGTTTATTCTGAAATAATCGATAGTTGGAATTATTATGAGCGGACCGTCAATAGTTGGAATTATTACTATCAATTTTTCCTAAATAAATAAGACGAAATATGATACAAGTTGATATGGTGAAAATGGAATGATGAAAAAGAAATATGAATACTATTAAAGGTGATGAATATGATAAATAGTGAAGATGAGAAGTGATGAATAAGTTTCAATAGTTTGCACACATACACTGCCTTCCTATTTGCACAAATATATCAAAACAAAGGGATACCATTTTGTTTTGGAGAATGTATGATAATCTTCAGTGTTGCAGTTGAAACTTCCGAAGTTGTACATAATTCCAACGCCCAGTTTGGAGCAATATAATGTGACAAAAGATTGGTTTTAATTTGGTTCAACTCACATAGTGAAACACATAGCGCGTACCAAGATTACTCCAAAATAAAATTATACGGAGTGAGGGAGGACTACGTAGTACGTAGTACGAAGTATATAGAAAAAAGTGAACTTACAAGATTACTCCCTGTCCTGCAATTCAAGTTGAGTGTTTTTATGACTTTGTTTTTCCGTTCATGAGTAATTTTTAATCATACACGTAACTTTTCATTTCGCATGCTGAATTGTGTAATAATAAGAAAATTAAGATTGAAGTTATTTTTCTAATTGTATTGACTAAAGTTAGTGTAAATAGTCATTTTAGCTGTTTTCATATAGTTCTTTACTTATTTAATTAATAAAAAATATTAAATATATACTCCTTCGTCCCGCTAAGATTGTCCTATCTTTTTTTTTTTCTGTTCTATTAAGATTGTCTCATAAGAAAAATATCACTAAATTACTTCTGAAAAAGTGATGGACAAAATGTAACTTGTTATTAACTTTTAATACCTATAATTATATTCAAAGTAACTACGATATAGTGAAAATGATTTAAGCTTTAATTTGAGAACAATTATAGTTACTAAACGTTACTAGGCCACTTTTTTATCAATGAATTACAGAGTATTTATTAGTAATATGTCAGGAAAAATTGTATTAAAAATTACAAGCATGCTGATATTTTAAATTTAATCAAACGTTGTTTTTTTGAAAGAATTTAATAAACCATTGTTGAGTACTAAAAAAACACTCATACAAATTAATTAAATTTTATAATGTAAAAGTACGAGTTATTTCTTATATTGTGTATATGATCATTTTACTCGGTATCATTTAATGAGTTAAATAAGGTTGTTAAAAGTAATATTAATATTAATTCTTAGAAAGCCAAAAACAGGCTAATACCTCAGCCTTTTTGGTATTTTTCCAAATAATTTCAACACATACGTGGTATTATACTACTCCCTCCGTCCCTAAATAAACTTCCAACTTTCTTTTTTCGTCCGTCCCAATTAAAACTTCCACTCTCCTTTTTGGCCAGAATTTGTGTTTCACAGCAATTCTTACACATTTCTCTCTCCTCTGCACAACTCTCCACCACACAATACCCACTATCTTAAACTCCGTGTCAAACCTATTTGGAAGATATAATAGGGACGGAGGGAGTATTATGCACGTAGTATTTAATATCCTGCCGTCTCGCTTTACTAAAATTATGAAAATAAAACTTATTTATTAAAACATGATTACAAATTACTTCACGCATCCCATTAATATTATCTCTTTACTTTTTGATTCATCTCAATAAAATTGTCTCATACAAATTTGATAAAATTTGTGTGATTCTTAATGATTATTATTTTATCCTCAGTTAATCAATTTAATATCAATCATATAAACATTGATGGATAGTCTACCCGGGGGGTATCTTATCCGAGGGGTTATCGCGGGAATAACTTAGAGAGAAGTCAGAGCAAATAGGAGGAGAGAGAGTTGATTTATTAAATGAACTCGAGATATGGAGTTGTGTGTAGATGTCGAAGGGTCACATCAGCCGGGTGGCACCGGCAGTGGTACGTTCACCGCATTGAATGCGGTTGGCGGATGTGACGTGGCATTAAATGCGGTGGTTGGCTGTCTCCAAAAGGAATCTTCGATGATTGAGCATGTTTGGCCGAAGGCTTCTTGTGTAGCCGAGGGCTCCGTGTAACCAAGGACCCCTGTGTAGCCGAAGGCCTTGTGTGGCCGAAGGCTTGGTTCAGCCGAAGGTTTCTTTGATGCCGAGGGCTTGCTAATACCGAAGGCTCGTGTTTTTCGCCGCTTCCTCCCAGCAGCTTCTTATGCCAAAAAGGGCTATCCTGTGAGTTCTGGAGCCCTCGGCCAATTAGGCCGAAGGCACCCCAGTGTGTATTCTGAGCTATTTTGAGGCTTGGGCCGTTACACTTGGGCCTGAGTCGTTCTCTGGGCTCAATGGACTTGTGCAGGAGAAGTAGGAGTCTATGTGCCGGGGGTTCCTGGGCCATATACTCCATCAAACATTTTTCTTATTAACCAAACATGTTCTAATATTCAAATTTTAATGAAAAAAAGGTAATACTATAGTACAAGCGTAACTGTAAAAATTGAACATAAATTGTTACAATTATAATTATCGTTATAATCACTACAATCAAGAGGTCATCATGATTTTATAAATAATTACGTAGTACTTCCTCCTATTAAAACTTTGTGAGCTTTTTTTTTGTCTCATCAATTTGGTCGCTTTCACTTTAAAGTAAAAATTTGTGATTCCAGTTAATTTTCTCTTTTCTATATAAATCTCAACTACACAATTTTTACTTTATTAATATTATACCGATCACATTTGGCTAAATTTTAAAGGATGAAGAGAGTATTTTAAATACTCCGTCCATCCAACAAAGAAGTTTCCACTTTCCTTATTTGAATGTGCTCAAAATAAGTTCTCATTTCCTTAAATTGACAAGTTATCTACATCAAAACAGTACCAAACAATACAAAACAGTATCAAACAATGTAAAAGAGTGTAAAACAATGAAATTTATCCCTGATTAGTTTATTTCCTTAATACATACTGTATAGTTCAAACCGGGAACTTTTTTGCAGAAGGGAGAGTAGTCCATATAGGGGGTGTTTGGAACTGATTCTGCTTCTGCTTCTTTTTTAAAAGCAGAAGCAGAATCAGAATCAGTTTTCAGAAGCTGGTACCCCCCAGCTTCTAAAAAAACTGATTCTGAGAGTAAATTAGAGCTCCAGAAGTGCTTCTGGAATTTCACCCAAACACTTCAGCTTCTGATTCTGCTCCCTGAAGGAGCAGAATCAGTTTTGAGAATCAGATCCAAACACCCCCATATAAACACTTGCGAGTATTTAATATAAACAACAAAAATAACCAGCCTTCCTCAATTATTACCGGAACTGGCCGGTCCTTCTGTGCCCTCGCATCCCCATGCCTTTGCTTTCATCCCCGTCCATTCACCAGCCACCGCTTACTTTCACTACTGCAACAAACCCACAAAGGGAGAGAGGAAAAAAAGGTGAGAATCTCTCTTTTCTCTCTCTATATCTTCTCCTATATATGTAATCCTTCACCATCTCTGTCTCTCTCTACGTCGTCGGAGGTGATTGTCTGTCGGATTCCTCCCACCTGCGCTAAAAACATCACTCTTCCTCAATCCCCTCTTCTCTCTATCTCTTCATCAACTGTTGCAATTAAAAGACTGCTTTCTTTCATCTTTTCAGCTGTTTTAGCTTCAGAGAGAAAGTGATGGCTGAAGGATTTGGGGCTTATCATGTCCCACAACAAACCAGAAGGGATAAGCTCAGAGCCTTAGCTCAGAACCACCACCCCAGTGATGGGTTAGCCCCTCTTTATTACCCTCCTCCTGATTTTCTTACCTGCGCCGCCCTCCAACGCCACCAACAGCTCGGGGTTGTTTCCGATCACTTCAAGAATGATAAAGGCGCGACCTTTGACACGGGACCCGCCAATTTCCATGCCCCCAGTTTGTATATGGATCCCCAATTACACATAAATCAAGAAATGGGCAGAAACCCATTTCTCTACGCACCACAAAACCTCCGGGTTTTCGACGGCGATTCTTTCCACGGCGGCGGAGGCGGCGGTGGGGATGTTAGTGTTGTGTATAAACGGCCTGCACCAGAGGCATTGTCAGCGGGGGGGCATGGGGGAGGGGGGTCCGGTCAAGGGTTATCTTTGACTTTGTCGTCATCACATCATCATCATCAGAATCAGCGGGGTAATCAAAGCAGTAGTAGTAGCCTGCGGCCTCTGGAGCTGAATCTGCAAGGATATGACTCCACAATGCAGACTCTGGTTTCTGGCATTCATGGAGGTGGGGGTGATGGTGACTTGTCAAGGGCTACTGCACCTGGTTCTGGGGGGCCTTTCACGGGGTACGCCTCAATCTTGAAGGGTTCCAGGTTCTTGAGGCCTGCACAGCAGTTGCTGGAAGAGGTCTGTGATGTGGTCAGGGGTAGTACTGTCTTTGCAGGTGATGAGGCTGCTGAGTCAGCTCTTTTGGACCATCATCAGCATCCTCCCCCTCTTCCCTGTCTGCAGCAGGTTGATGACTCTCAAAGTTGTAATGATGGAGTTGGTGAGCTCAGGAGGAAGAGTTCTAGGTTGGTTTCAATGCTTGATGAGGTAGTATACATTATTCATTCTTTATTTTGCACCTATTTTTATGTTTTATGTCTTAATTTCATGTTTATTGGCTCATTATAAAGTTAACTCATTACCTATACTAGGATTTGTAATTAGAAATTCACAACATTTGAAACTATGCAAGAAGTTATAATGTAACCCGAAAAATGAATTAGAAAATGATAGACTTATGATCTAAAATACTCCCTCCGGTTTTTAATAAACTTCACACTTTTTTATTTCCTTTTTTGGCAAAGAAATCTACATCAAAACAGTGCCAAACAGTGTCTCTACAGTGCCAAATAGTGTCTCTACAGTGCCAAACACTGTCAAACAGTGCCTCAACAGTGTACTCTACAGTAAAGTCAAATTTCTTTCCTTATTTTGTGTTAAGTCAAAGTGTGAAGATTAAATAAAACCGGAGGGAGTAAGAAATTGTATGATAGTCTGGTTTTGGTTTACAAGACTTGACGATAAATCAAAAAAATACATGTTCATGGTCAAATTATTTGTAGTAAATAAAAATTACATATTTAGAAACGGGATTAAAAGTTTTACAGAGTCGCAAAAAGAAAAATCAAATTTGATAAAAGTTTAATACATAAAGTAAGAGATTAAGGGAGTGTTTGCAATCACTTAAAAAAGCACTTCTCAGCTTTTGGCTTAAAAAAACACTTATTTACCAAACACTACCAATTTTTACTTTTTCTTGGCTTGCGTGTGAAAAATGCTTTTCCCCTTTCAATTACACAAAAAGCACTTATTTTACCAAACACTACCAACTTTTACTTTTCAAAATCACTTTTTTCTCAAACACTATCAACTTTTCCTACTAATCACTTTTTCCTTACATCTCTAAAAGTGCTTTTTTTTAAGCAGAAGCAGTTGCAAACACTCCCTATAAGAGTGAGTTGTGTTGACCAAATGAATAAGACGCATGATCGTCAAATTCTGCCTTAATTAACAACAACATTACAACATTCAAGTCATAATGGCAAAAGAGTTTGGGGAGTGTGTATATAAGACCTTTAATCATGCTAAATTCACTTGTTGCGGAATTGAACAATAGACATCATGGTTCTAAGCTACCCTTCCCAGCTAAGAATAGCGGTCACCCTTCACGCGGAAGCTGCAATTCGTGACGTTTACTACCATTGTAATTAATGAAATAATCACACCCCAAATACAGAAACGTGTGAGAATGCAGCGGAGAGGTGTGAGCTCATTTCACACCCCAATTACGGAGTGATCCCGTTACCCGTGCCACTTTTTGTCGTGAGAGCAATGTTGCGCAGGATTGCACCAGGCCCGGCACATGCGCAGGCCTGGCGCAACGTGTTCTGATTCACAATTTAAAACCCTGCTACTCTGCTAGCCGGATGAGCAATTTCATTTAGGTATATTTGACTCATTTAAGGAGCTGAATAGTTGTATACTTGTATAGACTCATTTGACATCATAATTTTTGCTTACATTCCTATGTGGTCCTTCGTTTTGCTAATTATTATGTGTACAATTGGTTGTCCGTACCAACATGCAAAGTCGAGAATATGATCTATCAGATCAGTTATAAGCTTTCGCATTAGGCATATTCCATGCAAAGATAGTTGCTTATGTTTTAGGCATTATTATTGTAATGGTGTTGGATCATTAAATTAATTGAAATCGTCTTTTGAGAAAAAGGTGATCGGGAGGAATATATGCACAAAGATCGGTGTGATAAACTGTCTGACAGCGTAACAAAGTTCAAACAAGTCACGATTTCCACTAATAAAAAAGTGCTTAATATATACCCACCCTCTAATAAAAAAGTGGTTCAAAGAATCTAGTTGACAAACATTAATTTATTCTCCGAACAACCATGGGAAGAAACGAAGAAATAATATTTAATTGTGTAATGTTACGGATATTCTAGAAAGATATTTAAATATGACATATTTTAATAGCTTGATAGTCACATGTTAACTTTTCACGAATCCAATTTGTCAATGTTTCATAGACTTTAGTAGTTTAGTTAATACGTAACAATTACTATTTCTCTTCTCGTGAATTGCATATAGGTAGTACGTATATCTTCGACATAGATTTTGAGCCTCATTGGTAGCACGAAAATCGACTATTTTGGTTGATTCTGCTGAAATTTACAATGTTCTGACTGAAATAGTTGTTTTGGCTGATTCTGCTGATTTAAGGAAAAATTAATTTTAAAATATATTTTATTAATAAAATAAAGAAAAAGTTATATGTAAAAATAGTTAAAATAGTCATCTACAGTAATTTCAGTCAATACAGTCAGAAAAGTAACTTCAACCTTACTTTTTCAGCTTATTATAAAAAGTTGTGTGTTTGGTGAAAAAGTTGACTGATAAGCTTGATAAGCCGAATAACAGTGTTGCCAAACGGCCTCTTAGGCTTCTTTGGCTGGGGGCTTTGGAGCAGTGGGTGGTATTTTGTTTTATTTATGCGAAATAACCTGGATTAGAAAGTAACAAAAATATGAATTTTTAAAAAAATGAGTACTATGTTTTTCCAAGTACTTTTTGACAATATTTTATTATTTTCCAATATTAATGTAATACTTGACAATATTTTCTGAGTATCACATTATTTACTCTTATTCACGGACATAGAATATATCTCTATTTTGAATTCCACATTGCTTTTATTCCGATTTACAGCAATTTCTTATAATTAATTTATTCATTAATTTATCTATAATTATTAGTTTTAGAGAGGCTATATATACTTTGTAAAGTGTATAAATTTTTATTAATTCAATTTCTCCAAGTCATCTAAATATTTAAATTTGTGAATTAATTAAAAAAGTACCCCGTCTCTTTCAGTTCTTTCCGCTCTCCCAAATATACAACTAAACCAGGTTTAGTTTGGGTCTAAACAACAAATAAACTCACCATTTTATTTTTCTATTGTTGCCCATTATTTTATTCTTATCCTTCTACAAACATAAAAGAATAGGTTGGAGACTCCTAATGCAAGATGAAATGATGTAGTTTCCATTTCATTGATAAAAGTCCTAGTAAGTATCAAATGTTTGGAAACAAGTTGCTCATGTGATATGGAAACTACATATAAGGAACAAATAAATTAGGTTATGTTTGGATCTCGAAAAATGTCAGGGAAATGAAAGAAAATGTTACCAAAAGTTATTTTCTGATGATATTTAATTTCACCTCAAAAACACTAAGGAAAAACACACACAGGCATATTAGGGAGTATATAAATAACATATATTCAATTTTGATAAATGATAGGTATGTAGGAGGTATAAGCAGTACTACCAACAGCTGCAAGCGGTGGTTGCCTCTTTCGAGTCGGTTGCGGGATTAAACAGTGCAGCGCCATTTGCAAACTTTGCATTGAAAGCCATGTCAAAACACTTCAGATGTTTGAAAGAGGCAATTACTGAACAGCTACACTGTGCAGCCAAATCACAAGGCCATATGAATTATGGGGTAGAAGCTCCCCCAAGTGTGGAAAATATGGGGAAAAGGTTTTATTTCCAAAGCCCAACCATTCGTACTACGGGTTTGATGGAACACCCACCCGTGTGGCGTCCCCAAAGAGGGTTGCCTGAACGTGCCGTGACTGTTCTCCGAGCTTGGCTGTTTGATCATTTTTTGCACCCGTAAGTTATTTGTGCTCTACAATTCCGTTCTAAATTTTTGTTAAATTAGAACACCAATAGAACATTGGTTACTTATTTTTCTCATTATTCCACTAAATTTAAGTGTCTAAGTGCTAACGGCCTAGCTAAAAGAGAATATTGGGTGGTCCAGCAAAAAAATCAGATACTCCGTATAAAGTTTTACACAAATTGATTTTACGCATATGAACAAATGAATTTTCTGAAGTTGGGTTTGTTCGGGCTCGGGTCCCCCCCCTTCCCCCCCGCTCATGCCTATGCCAAGTGCTGCATAGTAATAATAATCTAAAGTTCTAAACCAATAATAAGGCATTCAGTTATAGTGATATAGAATTTAGACAATATTACTCGCTGTTTGTTTTTAAGATGTGCTCGAACATATAAAACGATAGTTACATTAGAATGAACTTATGGAAAATAAAACATAATTGATACCCTCGTTAAAGTAATTGATCTTGTTGCAGTTATCCCACAGATACAGATAAGCTAATGTTGGCAAAACAGACAGGCCTCTCGAGAAATCAGGTATATATGCATAGTTTGCTCCAAACTCTTGATTTCTTTGTCAAATTGCCATTTTTTCGTGGAAAACAGTCTTTTGAGGCCTATTTTGTTGGGCTATTTCCCATCTAGATATGACACATTTTTGTTTTACAACCATCTAAAATGTTAGAATAAAGTGATGAAGTAAATATGATATCCCTCTCCTTCCACCTCTAAATCTTGCAAAACAATAGGGCTATTGGGTGGGTCCGTCCGTGTGAAATTGGAATTTGGTGGACTACTTATTCAAAATAGAAAAACATGAGGAAACTTGATACAGAAACATCTTTTAATAGAAAAACAAGTGACTTTAGGATTTTTATTGAGTTTCGACCTAGTTAACGAAATGAAAACGCACACATTCGATATAGTTTTCGTGCTTGATAAAAAATTACTTCATCTGTGTAGTCTTTTAACTTTTTTTTTTGCATTTGTTACATCAGAGCAGTAAAAATCTGTAGCCATTTTCTCATAGCAATTGATACATGTGTGATTGGGGTGAAATAATCATGAAATAGGTATCAAATTGGTTCATCAATGCAAGGGTTAGATTATGGAAGCCAATGGTGGAAGAAATTCACACTCTTGAAACTAGACAAGCGCAAAAGGATTCACAAAAGAAGGAACAAAATGACAATAATCTAAGTGAGCATTCTTCCATCAGGAACAATTCCGTTGCCACAATATGCGAAGATCATCAGCTCCCATCAAAGCGAATGAGGGAAGACGAAGAAAACCACAACTCATTGCAGGGAAGTGATCAAGAGGTGGCAATGGACCTCTCATCATATGGAAATATGTCACACCACTCTCGGCTGGGTATTGGCCCGACCACGACCCGCGGCGTCTCATTGACGTTGGGCCTTCACCAAAACAACGAGCTTGGTCCATCGACAGATTCTTCTTTCCCCGTGAATGCGGCTCAGCGGTTCGGTCTGGATATAGCAAGTACGGAAGGATTTGTACTGTCCGGTTTCGATGCACATAATACTCAGTTTGGAAGGGATATGATTGGATGATGACAGGTTTTGCATGGCAAATGTGTGGTTTATTTTGGTGAAAAATGACCCACTGCTTGCTGTTTTGGGTCAGCCAGCAGAAATTAAAGCAGGCTTATGAGCTATAGATTTTGCAGCTCATATACATTCAGCTCATATACCTACCCCACCCCATAATTATGTCCATTCGGAATGATTGCTTGCTTCTACAAATTCAATTATTATTACTACCTGTATCATTGCGGTGATATTATTTTCAGCAACAAGGGCAACGTCACAAGGCCTCCATTGGCGACCACAAATAAACACTGACATTAAGATGAATGAACAAGTAATAAAACAATCCTTAAATTAACAAAATATGCGGAAAAAAACTACAATGGCCAATCGAATTCCTAAAAATGTGATCCCCCAATGCACAAAAGTACAAGTACTTGCCTCGAATAGGAGTAATTGTGACCGGAGATGCTTCATCCGCCGTCACTGAATCAACATCACTGAGTCGAACTATAACGGTACCAAAAATATTTTTGAAAAAAGAATTACACAGAAATTTTTACTTTTGAAAATAAAAACATTTTTAAAATTTGGAGTAGGTCAAGCCCAGATCGGCCCTCCCTTAGGGCCTAGATCTGCCCATGTCAACAATCCATGACTTTGGATGTGAAAATATTGGAAATGAGAGAGCATCGATTTTGATCTAAAAATGTCACCATTTAGGATTTCGAAATATAATGACTTAGGGGTGAGATCGGTCCGGTCCCGGGGTAGGACTTTTGCTAAACCAGAAAATTATCCGTAAAGTCTCGCATTATGAAAATTAGAGATTGAGACAAAACTAATTATATTCGGTTCGAGATGAGTTTTTGGTAGCCGGGCCTGTTCCGGATTCGGGTTGGGTCGGTTAAAGTCCGAACGTGAAATCATCTCATTGTTCTTTAATATTTTAAAACCTATAAAATTGATCAATAATACAAACCACAAACAATAAAACAAATATTAATGTCCAAAAATAAACAACAATTCAAATCCAAAGAAGATAATTATCTTAATATTTTGTTTAAGATGCATATCAATAAATAATATAGGTTTTCTAAAAATATTGCAAAGTAAAATTCATGGATAAAAATGTGACTAAAGGTACTATAAATATATTTACATGGTCACTATGATATACAAATTGAACATATTTAGAGTCCCTAAAAATTATGAAGTCATTTTTTATCCACCATGATTATAATCATATATGAGAAATTATTTATAAATTATATTTGTACATTATATTGATTTTATTTGATTCAGTTTTTTATCGGTCTGGGCCGGGTTATAAATCTAGGGCCCGTCTATGAGCCTGAATTTTTGAGTTCGGTCCGGATTTTTTATTCGGGGCGGTTAACAAAAAAAACTCGTACCGGAAACATCATTAGGGCTAGGTCAGGATCGGTTTCCGAATTTCGGTTCCGTTTTTCATGACTTTCAGTCTAAATTAATAGAGGCATAGCTTTTCAACTGAAATTTGCACTATTAATTTTGCATGTCAGTATATAATATATATGGGTATGGACTATGGAGTACTTCGTATATCATACGTACTACTACGTAATTTTTATCAAGATGACACTGTTATTTTAAGAGTATACTACTTCAGAGTCCCTAAGTTACATGTAAAGTTGGTGTGATTGTTTAGAAAGGTAAGTATGTCTGATTTATTTTTTATTGAATAAATAAAATAAGAATAAAATAAAAATGATTAACAATTTCAGATCGTCATCAATTTCAGTTAAAAGCGCAGTTATCTTCAAGAATTTATTTGAATGCCTTCTCGATTGAAGTTTTAGTTGAAATTTGGTATGAGTAAACTACACTTAATGAATAAGATGCTCAAAAAAATTCATCAAACAATTTCACGGGGACCCGCCCCAAATGGGGACGGACGGATAGAGCCTCCTATATAAGACCCCTTTTGACCTTTTTATGTAAGTTCGAGGACCTGTTTGATCTTTTTCCCTTCTATTTTTATACTACCATAGATGAAAATGTAAAGTACATTATATACTTCATAGATCTTATGTGAGAACAACAATGTTAACGTGTGCATGCAGCATGCATGGCACATGCATGCCGTCTTAATAGATATTTTATCACTTCCGTATTAATAGATAGCTTTGTTGTATAATTCAAATTACTTTGAATTATTGTTATACGTTGCACAGCTCACGCACGCACGAGAGAATAGCTCGGTAGTTGTTATTTATTATTATCTGTACATTTGTTGTAAAGTGTTTGTGTATTTATACACTACGAAAGTGAATGATACGATCACGTTGAAATCCAATTTGGTATCAGACGCAAAACTTCTCTTCCCCTCCCATGGCTTCCGCCAAATCCCCCACCTTTCATCCTGCCCTTGCCCTCACCAATATAAAAAATTTCATCCCCATCACCCTTGATTTGGAGAATGTAGAATACTCCTCATGGGCTGAACTCTTCAAAATAACCACTCGGCAACCTCCGGGTTTCCGCGATGCTACTAAACCTTACCATGTTTGCCGGCTACTAAAATCCCTCTACGGTCTTAAACAAGCGCCCCGCGCGTGGTATCATCGGTTCTCCTCCTTTCTACTCAACGTGGGATTTTCTAACAGTGTATGTGATCCCTCATTGTTTATCTATCGCCACCACAAACACACTGCCTATCTCTTGCTATATGTGGACGATATCATCCTCACCGCTTCCTCCGATGCTCTCCGCCACTCTATTATACACAAGCTGGCTGCGGAATTTTCCATGACTGATCTCGGCCCTCTGAGCTATTTTTTGGGCATTGCGGTAACTCGTCACCCCAACGGATTATTTCTGAGTCAACAAAAATATGCTCATGAAATTCTTGCACGAGCCAACCTTTCTTCGTGCAATCCGGCGGCCACCCCAGTAGATACAAATGCAAAACTTAGCGCAAATGCTGGGCCACCGGTGGACGACCCAACTCTCTACCGAAGTCTTGCCGGGGCTCTTCAATACCTCACGTTCACTCGCCCGGATATCTCTTATGCAGTTCAGCAAGTGTGCTTGTTCATGCATGACCCGCGGGCTCCCCATCTCCATGCACTCAAACGCATTCTACGGTATGTCCAGGGCACCATACAGTTCGGACTTCATCTACGGCCCTCATCCATTTCCAGCTTAATTTCATACTCCGATGCCGACTGGGGGGGCTGTCCGGACACTCGTCGGTCCACTTCCGGCTATTGTGTCTATCTCGGCGACAACTTATTATCCTGGTCATCCAAAAGACAACCTACACTTTCCCGCTCGAGTGCCGAGGCTGAATATAGAGGTGTTGCCAATGTTGTTGCCGAGACTTGCTGGCTACGGAACCTCTTGCTTGAACTGCATTGTCCGTTACCTAAAGCTACTATGGTCTATTGTGATAACATCAGTTCCGTTTATATGTCCGGCAATCCCGTTCAACATCATCGCACCAAACATATTGAAATGGATATCCACTTTGTTCGCGAAAAGGTTGCTCGCGGGGAGGTTAGAGTACTTCATGTTCCGTCCCGTCAACAATTTGCGGATATCTTCACCAAAGGGCTTCCCCGTATCCTATTTGACGAGTTCCGGTCCAGTCTAAGCGTCCGGCCACCTCCCGCTTTGACTGCGGGGGGGTGTTAACGTGTGCATGCAGCATGCATGGCACATGCATGCCGTCTTAATAGATATTTTATCACTTCCATATTAATAGATAGCTTTGTTGTATAATTCAAATTACTTTGAATTATTGTTATACGTTGCACAGCTCACGCACGCACGAGAGAATAGCTCGGTAGTTGTTATTTATTATTATCTGTACATTTGTTGTAAAGTGTTTGTGTATTTATACACTACGAAAGTGAATGATACGATCACGTTGAAATCCAATTAACAATACTATTGAACTTAGCTAGATTCATAGAACTAAGCGAATATTTAAGTTAACTCATAATCAGACTAGTGGTGATCAAGAAGTGGACAGAGCAAAATTATATTTTCACTATAGAGTCTTATATCACAAATGCTTGGCTAGGGGTGGAACGGGGTCGGGCCGGGATCCGGGCGGGCTCGGGCTTAAGAAATTCAGGCCTGGTACCGACCCAGGTTTTTATCCGAACCGGGTCGGGCCTAAACAGTATCAGTTCAGGCCGGATTTCGAGACGAGACTGGGCAATATATTAAAAACGTAGTGCAATCAGGCTCGGCCGGGTCGGGCCCAAAAAAACGAGCTCGAAGCCTGCCCTTATAGACACCAGGTCGGGCCTCGCACCGGGACCGGGCCTGAAAAGTAGCGGGTCGGGTCGGGCCTGCACAGTGCCGCGCCTGGCCTGTGTCGGGCCGACCCGCCCTAGTTCATCCCTATGCTTGGCTATACGCTATACGGGCCATATGGCTATATGCGCTTCAATTAAACTTTTAAATAAAAACTGGTTATAAGATCATAGTGGTATATTAATGAGAAATTGCCTTAAATAGGAGTAAACAAGTTTTAGTGTGCAAATCGCACCAATTTTTGGCACCAAATTAAAAATATATGCCGTCTTCTTACACTTCCCCATGTTTTTTTATAGCGTAAAACAGACGGCTTTATATTAAAATCGAGAACGCATACAAGACAATCTTCAGACAGATTTCACAGATCCAATCGTGAACCCTAGGAGTAGACATAAAATCAGTCACCTCATACAAAGCAACCTGACTTGCTAAACCTGAAACGGACAAACTTAAGCCTAAAACGAACAGATCAGAAACCCTGCCTATCAAAAGAACTCCGAAAATCCAAACATTCAAGTTTGGACTAAAACTAAAACTAGTACTACTAAATAGAAAATAATTGTCACGCCCCGGACCTCCCCGGACACGTCAACAACCCGCCGTACAATACGAATAGTCAACCGCAGTCCAACACATTCATATTATACAAGGCGTCTCGAATATCATTCACACGTAAGCCATCCATAAACAAATATAGTAAGTAATTCATAATGCAGCGGAAAACATTGTTTAAAACAAAAAGGCCACACCGGGCTATTCATGAGCACGCAGGCTCCATAGTAAAATATCCATGAGCATGTTTATTAATGTTTAAAATCCGAATGGAGGAAGCACGGACCAAGTCTTCGCTCCTAGATGATCTCTCGAGCAACGAGCACAGGAAGCAAGCTCTAGCCTCAACCTGAAAAATGGTGGTGGGACGCCCCCGAAGGGGTCAGCACTCTATAGGG